TTGATCACTGTAGCCTGTATATATTTCAGGGTGTTGCTCACCTGTTTGAGTTTCTCATCGGTGAGACAGTTGAGCTCGATGATGAACTCGCTGTCGGTGGGAGAGATCTGGGCGCAGGGATCGATTATCTTGATAATATCCAACTGCTCTCTCAGGCCCATCTCTGTGCTGACCTTCCGACTCAAGTACTCTATGTACTCCACCTAGGCGCGACAACAGACAAACATTTTTATTTTGTTCCAAATGGCTGACAATATGGAGACTTTGAGGCTTTGCCTACTTGTTCGTCATTAGTCATGGCACTCCAAGGCAGTTCATCCAGGTTGCGATGAGGGTGAGACTTTGGTTTCCTCTTGGAAAACAGACACGGTGAACTTGGCACACTTGGAATTATGTCAGAAAGGACATCACTCCCGCTGGCGATGTCACTTCCTGGCAACTGGAACAAAAAAAAAAAAATGTCACATAGACCTTAAGGACAAACTAAGGAACAAGTGGTAAATGTTAAAGAAACCTCCAAAAAACCCACCTGCCATTCAAACTCACTGTCAGACCAGTCCCAGTATGTGCTGATGGAAGAGGAGACGTCACTGCAAACACTGCCCTCCGGAAACAAATCCAAGGACGTTAGTTCTTGGTCATCCAGCAGGGAATAGCAGTCATCCTGATCGCCGACAGACACAGAGGAGAACAGCTCCTCGCTGCACTCCGAGCTGGCAACGCTCGTCCCACAGGATGTGAGGTTCCACCTGCAGAGAGAGCCGGTGGACTTTAAAAGGAATATCCACAAAACCTAATGGCACATCATTTTCAGACAGGTTTTCAAACAAGGATCAAACCGCCAACAATCGACATTTGGCAATAGAGGCTGGTTCTAACCCCCCGCCGGTGAGCTGCATGGCCTCTGTCCCCCCCTGTTGATGCGTGTCTGATGACAGCATCACGCTGAATTAGCGTAGATGATGACACCAGAGCGACAGTTATCAGGAAAGTAAACAATGGAGAGCAACATAGAAGGAGCCTGGTGCTTAGTCAGTGTTCTGTATCATTTCGCTCGCTTATCTGTCCCAAACGCTCTTACTTTTGCTTTACCATGTTTATCGAATGTAAACAGAGTTTTTTTTAAATCATAAGTGACTGGCATGGTTTGTTGACGTTTGTACATAGCACTCAATTTTCCACAGCATGCCAATCAGAGCAGAGGTGATTTTAACGCAGGTCACGCATCAGTGAGCTGTTCCCACTGCCACTAAAAGCCAATTGTTCCTGGGATTAACCAGGCTTTACAGCCAGTGGGAAAATAATAGCACGAAAAGTTGCTCCTCTTAGTTCAAGATAAATGCACTGTAAACAAGGAACTACGCTGCTCAGTAGCCGAGTTTTAAAATGAAGGCTGTTCTTTTCGCAGCTCAATTATTCTTGAAATGAAGATAAAATACATGACCTTCAGTTATAGAATGGAATCTATGTTAGCTTCAAGTGGGAACCATCAAGGATCAGAAACCTGTTTCGTCATGAACTGAGGGAAGCACATCTGCCCTTAAGAGCTCATTATGCTCGATGCACGGATTATCCGTGCGGAAAATGAGCCGCCCGTCACAGCGTCTGCAGCATTTATACACTGTGCACCTTTCCGCGTTCTGGCCGGGGATAAACTAAAGGGATAACCTAAAAGGATAAAGGGGGTTTGCTGATCTGACACTTAGTGTGTATTGACTATTTCTCCACAATCTGCTGTTAATTGTGGTATTTATGATCTAAATCACGGAATGGCTCCAGATGTTTACAATTGCGAAACCTGGCCATGTTTTCTGCGTGGTTTCATCTGCGTAGTTACAAATTTTCCTAGGTCCATGCAGAGGGGCGTGGAAGACCTAAATGACGTAATCTGGCCATGGGGACCTTGTGGATGCGTCAAGCATAAATCAAGCTTTGGGCTCATCTCTGGATAATCCAGAAGCAAACCCCTCACCACCCTGTATTTTCAGACCCATTATTCCTAAATACACAATAACTCAATATATTGTTTACCAACATCTGAACAGAAAAAAAGGCAACACATACTTATAAACAATATCAATACAAGTGCGAAAGAGCAAAAAAGGTTTTAACACAGTGGAACTTAAGACCTGGTCCATTTATTGCATCATGTTGTAGAAAAGACAGTTAAACTATAAACAAAGACATATATATCATTAAGTTTTATATTGATTCACACATACCGGAACTTTCCTCCTCATACAGCTGCTTTAATAAGGAAGTAAGACAACAGGTAGGAGACCAAGATACCAAACATGCATAAAGACACTTCCTGCTTACCTGTTGCTGTGGAAACGGTGTAGAGGGTCTGTTCTGTGACATGATGAGAGCTGACAGCTGAACTCGCTGACATCCAGTGTTCCTACGTCACTGAGGTTTGCTCTTTGGGAGAGGAGAGGGAAAGGCTCCTCTGGAGCCAGAAACTTCTCATACAGAGATTCAGACATGGCTGCTGTGCTCGCTACAACTGATACAGGAAGGAGAGAAAAACAAAACTACAAATCAGCATTTTGGCACAAGGTAACTTTTTTTTTTTTTTTTTTTACAAGACATTTTTCTTTTTTGATTCTGGCATTGAATTAGGTCATAATTAGGGCTGGGTGATATAGAAAAAAAGCTTATCGATAAAAAAAATGCATATTGATCGATATCGATAATTATTGAAAAGATTTGAAACCATATTTTATGTGCAGCTCTGCCTGGACTTTTATAATATTGCTAAATGATTTAATTTTAATAAAGAACACAAACACAGACTTCCAATTAAATCTTTATTTAATCAACTTTTTTAACCATAACAGAATTGTTTTAAAGAAAAATAACTTAAGAGACCTGAGTTAAGTTATTAAATACTGACAAAGAATAAACTAAAGTGACCAGAAAAGTGACCCCCCCCCCCACTTTGTTTTAGATATTAAAGAAAAACAACTTAAAGTCTAGCTTATAATCCTAAACAGGGATAGCCTCATTATCTATTTATTGTTGGCTTCAAAGCTAAAGCCTAGACTCAGAGATTCAGCATTTGTTTGTTTCTTTAAATGGTGAATTTCTGTTACATTTAGTGACTGACATGGAGCAACAAACATTTCTGTATATTGCTGGTGAAGGTTCTCAATCATGCAGGTCATAGTCATTCCAAAAAAGAAAATTAAAAACAATCAACTTGAAATATTTTCCAAGTTTGAAGACATTTTGCTTTTTCAATTCAAGATGTCAGGAGAATACCAAAATCTAAAAAAACAAAACAAAGAAAAACCTAAAAATCAACGCTATTCCTGGCATTTTTAATTGAAAAAGCTTCCTGGCTAGGAAGCTAAATGACTTCAAACGTGAAAACAAAGTCCAGCGAATTGTCTTTAATTTTCTTTTTTTGGAATAACTGCCTGATCATTATAGCTGCTAGAAACGAAATAAGCAGGGAACATTAAAAAGATCCCTCAAAATCTGCAAATAGTCTAAATAACTATAACAACCAATGGGAAGGAACCATTAGAACAGCGAATGACTGATTGAAACCACAGCAATTTTACAGCTTTAAGTCATTTTTTGGGAAGCATCAATGTGTTAGCACGTGTAGCGCATTAACCTGGGATAAAAAAAATGATAGGTAATCATTGGGCAAAATGCTGAAAAAGATTTTAAACATTTTTATTTGAGCCTTCCAATGTTAAAAAAACCTAAACTTATCATTTTAGTTTAGATCTTTAAGGAAGGTCTGAGAGAACTCAGGTAAGGATTATAATCTTGTTTTAAAGGGACATTGTGTGAGAATTACTGCCATCTGGCGGTAAAATTATCATCTGGTAAAATGCTGAAAAAGATTTTAAATTTTCATTTGATTCAAAATGCATCACAACTTAGGACTCACATCTCATAATAAAAATACAGCTAAAGGATGCATGTTTTCCTGCTTAGTATTTGCCATACTTTGACTATTATTAAGGCATTGACACCAAAATAGGATATTCTTGTAATGCATTTATTTTTTTCATTTTAATGTTAAAAAGACCTGCAGCACATCTTTATACTAGTATCAAAGTATCAGTCCTAATGGACACTGACAAGGAAAACAAGTCTGTTGAGAACATTTCTAACTTTAACATTTCAATGCACCCATTTTGTTTCATTAAATATTTGCTTTTAATTAATTATTATTTAGGGGTGTAAATATCTATCTTTTTTTTATTGATGCATCGATCCAAGAGCCGATGCATCGACACCTCTGCAAGAGTATCGATTCGTGTGCCTGAGTAACAACAAGCAAATACGTCTACAAAATTAAACTTAACCTGCAATTTAAAAATCTTATCACTTAAAAAAAAAGTAGAGAAATACATTGGTTAAAAACAAACTGAACCAATGGAAAATAATCGGGTTCTTAATATTAAAGAGAATACGACGAATTAAACTTTAGAAATAAAGCTATGAACAAAATTTACAATATCGATAAAAATTAACACCTACATGTCAAATTATCAACAACTTATCTATATATAATGGGGTAAATAATTACTGAAAACAAGTAAACTGGAAATGAGATGCCAGGAAATCGCTGAATTAGCAATCACCAAATAACACATCCGTTAAATATACTGTGAATACAAGGCGTGTTAGTACAGTTATATAGGCAAATTAATCACAGTTTAGAACCATTAAGGATAAACAGCGTTAGCCTGTGACAACAATAACATTAGCTAATACCGCTAGCTGGATGCTAGTGAAACAACTGTTCACCTAACGGTAACCAAACGACACAGCGGTAGCTAAAAAACTTTTATGATGAAAAATATTTTAAAAAGTAACAAAAGAAAACGTTTCAAGTAAAAACTAAAGCGAACATCAGCGCACAAACCTTTAGTTTTCACACAGCGACCATGGCTACAGCCTCCATTTGCTAATCCTTTCTTTTCTGACGAACTAAGCTGTTCTCGCGAGACTCTAGACAACGCGAAAAGAACTGCCATCCGTCACATGTCATGTGACCTGAAGTCGGAAGTTCTCACGTCAATGAAAACAATCACTCTCTTTTCCTTCAATCTTGCCTCTTTTGTGCATTTTTTCTCCGATAGCGACTCATTTAGCCATGTCTTTAAGCAACGTAAAAGACACTAGCTTCTTGGGGGGCAGAATACCACCAGAAATAGAGTCGATGTCGAAAAATCTGAAGGATGTGGATCAAGAGTTGTTTAGAAAACTTCTCAAAGGTAAATACAATACAATAAAAAAACAACATAATTTGTTTTACAAAATGATCTTTGGGCTACTTTTACGCAGCTATGTTAATATATCTTGCAAAATAAACAAGTGAGTTTGTAATTTCTATTTACAAAAGAAAAGATCAGCTTCGTGTTGTTCTCTGTGCAGCTGTGGTCAGTGCACTGGAGGGAAAAGACTGCAGGGAGATCATGAAGTCGATCGCTGAAAGCAGTGTCATCCCACAGGAGAGGCTCAGTCACATCATCGCTGGGATGCACAGGGTGCTTTCAGAGGCCATCCGCCTCCCAGCGTCCTCACTCAAACAGGAGGTGAGTGTTCCTCTGAGGCAGGCAGATGGAGCTGCTGTGCTTTCAATTCAGTCACAGAAAACAAGTTTATATCTGTTTTTTGGTGAGGATTCTTAGTCGTCCAGGTCATAGTCACTCCAAAAACAGGTAAAAACAATCCATTGGACTTTGTTTCCAAGTTTGAAGATGTTTTGCTTCCCATCCAGGAAGCTTTTTCAATTCAAAAATGGAATTTTTTTATTTGAAAAAGCTTCCTGGGTGAAAAAAAAAAAAAAAAAAAAAAAAAAAAAAAAAAAAAAAAAAAAAAAAAAAAAAAAANAAAAAAAAAAAAAAAAAAAAAAAAAAAAAAAAAAAAAAAAATCAGTTGAAAGAGCTTCTTGGATGGAAAAAAAACATCATTTTTTTAATGAAAAAGCTTCCTGGGTGGAATTTTTTTAAAATTTTTGAATTGGAAAAAGCTTAATGGATGGGAAAAAATTCAATTTTGGAATTGAAAAAGCTTCCTGGGTGGGACACATTGTTGCTTCTGGGAAGCATCAATGTGTCAATTGAGCGTATTAACCAAGGATCAAAATAAAAGCTAATTATCAGGTAAAATCCTGAAAAATATTTTAAACATTTTTGTTTGATTCAAAATGCATCACAACTAAGGACTCACATCTCATAATAAAAACACACAAAGTATGTGCGTCTTTCAGCTTAATATTTGCCATACTTTGGCAATTATTAAAGCTTTGACACAAAAATGAGGATAGTCTTGTAATGCATTTATTTTTTTTATTTTAGAGCTTTCCAATGTTAAAAAACTGAACCTTATTGGTTTATTTTTTATTTTTTGTTTAGACCTTTAAGGAAGATCTGAGAGAGCTCAGGTAAGGATTATAATCTTGTTTTAAAGGGACATTGTGTTAGAATTACTGCCATCTAGTGGAGAAATCGGGTTACTTCACTTAAAGGAACAAATCACTGCCTCAAACATGTGTTCCGGCAATAGTAGCTTCCATGTAGGCCTGGGTGATGAATTTGCATTGTCTAATTTCAAGTACATATAATCTAATTATCTGTAAAAAAAATACTCATTCCATTGGCAAACTATTTCATTTACCTACTCAAATTAAGGGTAAAGACACTTAATTTAAGAAATGTTTACTTATTTCTAGATAGATGATTTCTAGATATCCAGTGCAGTCAGAAGCATAAACAAAGACAGTGGCGGATGAGCCCAGAGAAGAAGCCTCTTGCGCAGCCGTAAACAAAATTATATCAGTTAATCCTGTGGAGCCGTGCGAGAGTAGAGATGATGCGCATAGTTTGTGTTTATGCATTTAGCAGACGCTTTTATCCAAAGTAGAGACAATGTTACAGTAATCATCAATATGACCTTTGTCAGAGTTTAGTGAGCTGCAGATCGCTGTTGAGGGATTGTGTGCGAGGTTAAACGATGCACGTTGTTCTCACTGCACTCTAATGTTATGCTTTCTATGGTAACAAGCAAAACTGTCTAATAGAAAAAGTTAGCTTTATGCTAATTTAGGCAGCACAGTTCACTTGCTTGAGGAGGAGAAACATGGCATTGTCAACAACCCTTTTGAAGTGTTTTTCCTTCATTAGCTTCTTACGCCTGGAGAAGGGTTGTTTATCCTCGTTTTATTTTTTTATGTATCTGGTTTAGTTGTCTTATAAGTTCTCTTTTATTTATTTTCTTGGCGATGGTGAAACCATTTCTTCTTCTGGCTCTGCTGTGTATGCATGGTCCTGCATTGAGCGGCAGACTTTCAGTTTAAGGGGTAACGTCTCCAAATGCCCTTTGTTAGGTTTAAACACCCAAACACTTATCAAATAACCTGGGGGGAAAAGGACAAGAGACGTTAGATTATTTTTACTCGCGAGCAGAGCCGACAGAGATGTCCTCAATTAAAATCTCCTACCACTCTGAAGCCCCTCTGCTGTCTTCCTCGATCACGCTGGAACGCTAAAGGAATGCGTAGGGAGTTAAGATGCAGCATGATATAGTGATACACATACATTTCTGCATGCAGGCAGCAACCTTGAGTTATACACATGAAGAACATTCAGGTCCTGGTACCTGCAAAGGGTTACTTTCACAAGAGTCTACTAAAGGAAATACAAAGAATAAACAAGGTTAATACAGGATAAGATGAAATTAAATGAAATGGCTCCAACACCCTTCACCGCCGCCTTAAATAAAGTTCATTTGACCTTCATTTTTGTAGGTTAATGGGATGATATGCCATTGGAATGAGTATTTTTACTCTTAAAATAAGATGATTAGACAATATGCACTTGTAATAAGACAATGTGGGTGCTTTTTCTTATTTTAAATGTAAATTATCTCGTTCCATTGGCAAAGTGTCTCACTTACCACCTCAATTTACAAAAATTTTTCTTATTTTAAGAAAAAATTACTTTTTCAGATTTCAATTTTTTGCAGTGCAGCAAGATGGAAAGACGTTATTATACGCGCGTTGGTAGTATTTTATCCCCCGCTGGCTTGTGTACTTTCCAGATGTCAATGGGCGTCACAAACGAATAACCAGCCTTATGTATAAACTAATATAAAATTCTTCACATATGAAAATGTATCGGATTATTAGTGGAGGTAATAATACACCAATAATAACATGGATGTAAATGCACACTTGAAAATTCACTGGAAAAGTTATTTTTTTCTTAAAATAAGGGATTTTTGTCTCGAATTGAGGAGGAATGTGAGACACTTTGCCAATGGAACAAGACAATTTACATTTAAAATAGGAAAAAAAAATTGCATTGTCTTATTTTAAGTGCATTTTATATAATTATCTTATTTTAAGAGTAGAGATACTCATCTCATTGGCAGATCCTCTTATTTACCTGATCAAATCAAAGGCAAATACACTCAATTTAAGAAATGTCGACTTATTTCTAGATGTTTTTTGCACTGCAGTCATAGATTTCAGGTGGTAAAAAAGAAACATTTTTACACAATGTCCCTTTAAACATCAGTAAATAATTTTACAAACTGCATTGATTCCCTCACAAACCCTGAGCTCTTGTTTTCATTTAGGATACCAGAGGACTTCATCACAGATTTCTCCAGTGTGGTTTTTGGAAATCGGTAAGTTAGATTTCTAAAATCTAAAACCGCTTAAGGTTCCTTCCCGTCTGTCAGAACAGGTTTTTTTCTGTGCTCAACATCCAGGCGTGCAGCTCTTGAAGCAGCTTCCTCACAGAGTGACCCTCACCTCCCTTCACTGGAGGAATTTAAATGGAGAGTGGATGTTTCTATTTCTACAAGGTAACCAACGCTCTCAGTCCGTAAGGGATGACATCTAGTAGCTTCTCACATAACTGATTTTTTTTAATTTTATATATATATTCCTAACCAGTGCAAGACATTTTGCAGACATAATCAAAGTTACAAAGTAGTTTAATGAGGAAGCCGTGTCTCTGTGTTCACCCAGCTCACTGGCCAGAGCCCTGCAGCCGTCTGTTCTCATGCAGCTGAAGCTGTCAGATGGGAGTTTTCAGCGCTTTGAGGTACTGCATTAATTGATACTATTTCTATATCAAAATCACCACCAAAGTACTGTATTGGCCCAATTTTTTTGTTAAAATCGATGTGAAATTGTGGGGTTGTCCTATTATTAGTGTTGCACCGATACCAGTATGGGGCGGGGCCCCGATCCCGCACTAAAATGGTGGTATCGGTATCGGCGAGTACCAATAAATAGGGCAACAATACCATTTTGAGAGCAAAAAGTTTCTTCAACTATTGTCACCCCTTCAAGGTAGGCGATAAAAAGTTCTACTGGATTCACTTTGTATTAGTCTTTTTCCTGCTTTACAAAGGCAGGTAGCAGCTTGACAAAGCCATGATGGCAATAATTTTACATCCAAGTAGTATGCAGTTCTTCATATATACACACACATCAATTTCAAACAGATGGTATCAACCAATACTGCACAGCCAGGTATCGGGGCCTAAAAATGGCATCAGTGCAACACTACTCATTATCAGGGTCTAACCAATTATGCAGGCTAACAGTTATCTGGGTCGCTACACGAATGCACCAGCAGAGGGCGGCAGTTTTATTTTGCAAAGCCAGTGACCTCACTATGGCCGGGGTCATCTTTCTATCACAACAGAGAAGAAGTGACAAAGATGCTAGAAATGGAGAGTCGCTGCCCAGAATGAAGTGAATCAAAATTCAGACAAGTTTTCACACATTTGAGGCGGAGTTATGATGGCAGTTTTAAAATAATGGTGGTCAAAGCAGCCGAGGCATCAAACGGCTGTCAGGCAGCAAAGAAATACAGAGTTACAGAGTGCAACGTTATAAGACGGTGCGTCCAAAAAGACCAGAAAAATGCGAACAGCAAAAGAAAAAATTTCAGAGCTGCAGGGTGAGAGTAGGAGTGACAGCGAGAGCAGCGAGGCATGTGAGAAAAAAGCATGATGCAGGTTTTTGAGACATTCCATGAGCAAAATTCAGATTGCATTCAAATTAAAGGGTAGCAAGATTTAAATAAAATGGGTCATTACTGTGTTTTTAAAAAACTTTTTATTGTTTAATTGCACAAGTCTTTCAATGCAATAATATTCAAATGAAATTGTCAGCACTTCAAGATAAAATAGTTTATTAGAATATATATATATATATTTCTTTGGTCTTTTTGTTTTGTTGCTAAAAACTGGTCCTGGAAAGAATGAGTCATCTTATAATCAGGGTTGTACTGTATTCGGCTCATTAAGGTATATCATGTTAGCTCTTTGTTTCTTTATTCAAACAGACCAAAGCTGCAAAAATAGAACAGTATTTCTAAAGAAAAAGTATCTATGCAAGTGGGAGATAAAAACCAACAAGTAAAGACAACTTTCTAATTTTTTATATTTCCTTTTTATATTAAACTTTATTTTAACATTCCATTTTTTTACTTTTTTGGGAGCACTTACATATAGGCTTATATGTAAAGTAGTATACTAATACTATTTAATATTATAAATATATTTTTTAATGATTTTTGTCATTTTAACTCATGTTCAATCTGTATTTTAACAGTTCTTACTATTTGTGCATATTTATTTTTCAATTTTATGTTCCATTTTTTTTAGATATCTTTTCAATGTTTATTTCTTCAATGTTTTTATTTTATTTTAAAACTTTTTTTTTTTAAATCACAGATTTGTTAAATGGGAAATGCTGTTCCACTTAGAAGAGTAGACAATTAAAACAGTAAAAAAAGGGAATAGAGGGAAATTTGTAAAACTCATTCAATACCAAAAAAAAATAAAAAAATAAATATTTAAACTTAAATCCTAAAAAAGGCAGAAATAATTGGAAATTTAAAAAAAAAACAAAACTATAAAGATATTGGTTGAATTTTTGCAAATATTATACATTAGAAATTACTCTAAAAACTCTAAAAGAAGTTACATTCTTAAAAGCATTTTCTTTAACTTACCTTTCTCTAAATCAGGCATCCCCAAACTCGGTCCTTGAGGTCCGCTGTCCTGCAGGTTTTAGAGGTTTCCCTGCTTTAAAACAGCTGATTATAATGATTGCAGTAGACCAAAAGCCTGTTAATTATCTTTCAATTAAAATCAGCTGTGCTGGAGCAAGGAAACCTCTAAAACCTGCAGGACAGGGGGCCTCGAGGACCGAGTTTGGGGATGCCTGCTCTAAATAATTGAACAAATGTTACTCCCTATGTCAGATGCTAAAATTCCAGAAAGAGTTGTTGTAGTATTTGGTCTTAGTCAGCAGGGGGCGCCAGACTGTAGACTCTAAATGAAAGCTTCTAACAGGGATGTAGGCATGGGGGGAGCACTCCTGCTGCAGATGTGCTGTGCACCTCACCACGGTTATAAAAGAAGATTAGATTACAGCTGAATTAGAAGATTTGAAGCAACAACATCCGACTTCCACGTTCAGTGGATTGATCTGTCAGCCGGAGTGACCTGAGAGCAGATTGGAAAGGAAAAACAAATACAAAAGCTTGTTTCTGTTCTCTGTTAGATAACTTTTTCTGCAGGAAAATGGACACATGAGAGGAAATACAGATAAAACACCACAGCTTAGCTTTTCCATGTTCACACTGACATGTTTCATGTTTTGTTTCTCTTTTTTTCTCATATAACCAGGTTCCTGTGTCCAAATTCCAGGAGCTGCGTTACAACGTTGCTTTGATTTTAAAAGAAATGAACGATTTAGAAAAAAGGAGCATTCTGAAGATCCAGGACTGACAAACAAGCCGTCAGAGACTGAAGGAGGAGCAGGTGTCTTCACACGTCTTCAGTTTGGGCTCTGATTGTGTTGGCATCCAACATAATACAGCTTTTTTTGTTGTCTTGTATTTCAAGTAGCAAGCAATGCCTACAATGTTATTGGAAATGTTCCTTTTTTTTCAAGCAGTAACTTCTAATGGACATCCTGTATATTCTTAGAGATTTGTGCCAAAATCAAGACGCCAACCATGTTGTAGACCTATATCTATGCTGCCTGAGACTGAACATTTGTACCTGTTTGTATCGTTTAAAATAATAAACCTGAATAAGTTTGGGAGTATAGAATTATTCTCCAGACAAAAAAAAATGTATTTGCCCTTCTTTGGATCACTTTCAAAACTGCATATTTTTAAATTCCCTTCCATTTCTTTTCTGTATAAACATTTAAAAAATGTGCTGTTTCCCTAGTAACACACTAATAATAAAATAATTTATCAATTAAAACATTTAAATTCATCGTTTAAAATAATAAACCTGAATAAGTTGTGGAGTATAAAATTATACTCCAGACAAAAAATAATTGTTACCTCTGCAGGAATAGCAGAAGGCTGTAACACAGGGCTGGATTCAGTCGAGCCGGGGACCCGGGCTTCAGGTTTTTTTGGTGCCCTACCCATTCAGTAATTTCATGCATGTTAATAATAGTAATTTGTGTTTGATACACAGTAAAGAGGATAGCTACAAGTTTAACTCGCTGTGATTCAGTACTGATTGTCCACTAATGCTGATGCTAGCTTTTAGGGTAGCATTACTTACCAGTCTAGAAGAAAGGTGTCTAACTCTGCACACCAACATTTTTCAGATTTTATTTCCAAATCTAATTGTCTTCTATTCTTTTATTTAATTTTTCCCCCCAGATTTTTGTCCAATTTCAAATTTATTACTTTAGGTTCTTTCAAGTTATTTTGTCAGATTTTATTTTGTATAATTCTTTGGGGAAACAGAATTTCATGATTTTTTTATTTTTATTTTTTTTTAGATCCTGTTTTACAGATTTCACCCTCTATATTTCTGGGTGGTCTTTCTGTGGACCAATAGAAATGAGTCTGCCCTGTGAGGACGTTGGCAAAAGCATTTCTATTGGTCCCACACACTTACCACTCAGAAGCATAAAGGGTGAAATCTGTAAATTAGTATTTGAAGAAAAAAAAAACACAATTTTTAAAATCAGCCCCCTCCCGAAAAAGTCAGAAAATCATTTTCAAAAAGTAAAATTAAAATAAAATCTAAAAAAAATGTTACTTTTCATACATAAAATTTGGAAAATAAAATCTAATGTGGGATATATAATATAAATATAAATCTTTTGAATACACATAAATTGCTCAAAAACATTTTTTTTTATTAAAAAGTTTTTTTTCTGTTCCATTTTACACATTTTCCTATAATTTCCCTTGTACTTTGCTTTTATTGATATTGGTACAGATTTCTCTCCATAGAATCCTTATCAAAGACATATCTGTTGGAACGTGTGTAATGGTCACTGGCCGTCCCATCCTGGTATACAAAGTCCACCCAGTCTGTGGCAGCAGTTTACCCTATGTACAACGTTTAGGTCAGGATCTCCTGTGTAAAGTGCATGATTGTGTGGGTGTGTGTGTGGGTGGTTGCTTGCTTGCATAAGATTCTGCAGGCGTCCTCTTTGGAATATATGTCAATCTGTCTGTTTCTCCATGTGTGTCATGTTGTCTGTATATGATTCAACGGTTGTGTCTGTGTGTGGGATTGAGTTCACGGGCGAGACCAGCTGACCTATATTACCCGGAGTTACTGAGACGGGTGCTGGTGGAATGTAATCCATCCACACACACACACACACACACACCTGAACTCCCTTCAGCAAACAGGCTTTATTTGGGGACTGCTGTAAATACCGCTGATGGGTTAAAGAAGAAGCTAATTATATGGGCTATGACAGTCAGCCGCATCCAAAGGGAAATCCCATCAACTTGGCCATTTAACCCGTAACCCGTTTCTAATTCTGACACTACTACATGAGTTTAACATTTCAGTAATGTAATTAAAATAAAAACTTTGTAAGACTAACGCTGTAAAGCCTCAATGATCTGATCAGAGCTAAGATAGGTTTTCTTTTCTGTCCTCTTAAAGGAATAGTACACCCAAAACATGATTAGCCTTCATTTTCTACTCACCCCCATGCTGAACAACACTCTGGAGTACTTTTTTGATATCTCAAATGCATCTGGAGATCTGGGAGGCTTCTTGCTGTCTGCTGACATTCAAATAATGGAGGTCTATGGTGCCCGAGACAGAAAGGTCCATAAAAGTCCACAAAAAACGTGTCAATATTCCTCCATACTGCTCGTCCAATGTATTCCAAGTGTCCTGAGTGGGTAGCATCCAGAATTTACTCGAAACAAAGTCATTTAGAATGTTTTTAGAGCATAAACAGTAGTGTATAGGATTTCCTGAAAGCGGGCACATGCGCGTTCACGACGCTACGGAAGCCGGCAGACCAAACCAGCGCATTCAGCTCGGCAAAGAACTCATGCTCTTCCTCAACACTGAAGTCCTCAGACATTTTTCTTTCGTTGTTTCTTTCTTTGCACAGGTAAACAGCACATTTCTTCTTCTACGCTTGCATTATCGCCAGAGCAGACGCTGAATGCGCACTTTCATCTGGTTTGGTCTGCCGGCTTCCGTAGCGCCATGAACGTGCAGGCTCGCGCTTTCAGGAAATCCTATACACTACTGTTTATGCTCTAAAAACATTCTAAATGACTTCGTTTCGAGTAAATTCTGGATGCTACCCACTCAGGACACTTGGAATACATTGGACGAGCAGTATGGAGGAATATTGACACGTTTTTGTGGACTTTTATGGACCTTTCTGCCTCGGGCACCATAGACCTCCATTATTTGAATGTCAGCAGACAGCAAGAAGCCTCCCAGATCTCCAGATGCATTTGAGATATCAAAAAAGTACTCCAGAGTGTTGTTCAGCATGGGGGTGAGTAGAAAATGAAGGCTAATCATGTTTTGGGTGTACTATTCCTTTAAGTGCTTTTCATCCCTTGGCTGATTATCCTCATATCAGTTCCATTCTGAATACAGCAAACATGATTTATGCATAACACAAACAATTGTTTGTATTCATGTCTCTGATACTGAGGAAACAATAATATATGATTTTATATGGTTAGAGGTGTGAACTAAACACTATCCTCAAAAAAAAAAAATTAAATCTGAGATAGACTATGCACTGAAAAATAATAAATACAGACTTATTGATGTCTTTTAAAACTATAAGAATGGGGAACATCTGATCATAATTCTCAAAGTTATTTCTGATTTTGATCATATTTTGTCAGCTTCACTATGCAGTTAAGAAATGAAGATTGGGACAGATAGTAATGTGTATAATTTGAGTATAATTATAGAAAATGTAAAACTAAATTCTTTTACTATACCTAAGAAAAAAATATTCCAATAATAACTTCATGCAATCATGCAACTAATTAACTATTCACTTGAGCAAATACTGAAAAATACTGAAAATTCATGATTTGGTGGATCTGCAAACAGATTTTACACAAAGCAAAAAAGCAAACATTTACCTGCAAACATTCGAAGACTGCTTAGTGAAAGGCAACCAGAATATAATATATGAGGTTTGTGCTGTTTTGAAAATAAAAAATTTAGTATAGAACATTAGTTGCGGTTTGTGTGCCATAGCATGTACGATAAGAAATGTATTTAGTGTTACGCCTCCGTTACAGAGGGCAAATACAGGCAAATACCAGTTCTACAGGAGCACTGGCCCCTGTTGGCCCCCATTCTAAAGGGATTTTCAATATTTAGCTGAATTTGAAAACACTGAGTAACAGTAACTTAAATTATTTTATAAAAAGGTATAGCAGCTCAAAGGAAAGTGCAGCAAAAATAATTTCCTTTTCAATATTTTTCTAAATTTGAAGCATTTTAAAAATATAAACAGTAATTATTAATAAAAAAAATTGTAGATCAATTCCTAACTTTGTTTCTTGTTGCAAAGAACGACCAAACAGCTCCTGGAACTGTGTATTGAGTCAATTTTCCACAGATAAATCATTTTTTATACGCTAAGACGATGTTTAAAAAGCAGTGTTTGTTCAAAAATTTGTTTTTTGACTTAATTCATGGCATGTATGAGACATATGAATAAAGTCACACTTATTATAACAGGAATGTTCATAATAAAAATAATCTATTTTACTGATTGAAAGCAGAAACACCAAAGATCCATATTTTGGTCTAAATTCAGGCATTGAGGGGTTTAAATAACACTCACAGGCACTTCCAGCAAGTTCCTACAAGGATTGCTGCTGATAAATTTAGAATAAAACATTAAAGAAAAAAAACTAAAGTAGAATTTTGGCAGTTTAACAATCAGACTTGTATTCATTTGTGGAGGAATATCAAGATAAAACAATTACAGCTGCAATAAAGGAGTCTTGTGCCAGAACCTCCTATAAAATTCCACAGGAAACTGTGCTTGTTAAGTAAGATGTCACACAGAGTCCTTTTCAGTAATTATGCAACAAAGACTGGCCACACTTCACAGTGCTGCTGAGTCGTTTGTTATAAAACCTGTGATTCTCTACCTCCTGTCTCATGGCGATAACTTGATGTTTGGCTCTGCTTTACCCCTTTGCATCACCTTATGTTACACTGAGTCACAATCCTGCATGTGTGTCCTCTATACAGATGGTGCAATTCATAACAATTAAACGGTGGAAAATATTTCCTGATTTCAAGTGAACATTTTTTGCATAACTTATAGTTTTAGACTGGGGGTCTAATGTGACTTGCAGAAGTATTCATACCCATTTTAAGTGATTTTACACCACAGCCTTCAGTTTATCTTAAAAACATGATTGTCGAAAGGTAGGAAAAATAATAATAGCGTTTTTTTGTTTTTATTCTGGAAGTGTAGCATGGAAGTCTTTTAGCAGCATTTTATTTTGATCTTCAGTATCTGAACAACCTGCAATTTGAACATCTCACAGAAAACTCTTTAAGCTATCCATCTGTAAATAGGCTAAAGTACACCTGCAACCCTTCCAGGGCATGGAATTCATCTTAACTTAGGAGGAGCTGCAGAGATGCAAAGCTCAGGTGAAAGTAAGAAGAAAGGCAACACTGAGAGAAATCCATGGACGTCCTTTTTTTAATTTTTATTTTTATTTTTACCTGACCAAATGAATGGGATAGGACACAGCAAGCCTATGGACAAATGTACTGTGGTCAGGGAACACCACCATTATATTTTGTTTCAGGAGGGCCCTTATTTGAATATTGGATGGTCAAAATACAGCGTAGACCCAACATTTGATTGACAAATCACCGTTGATATATGATTGGCCGAATTTAGGTGTTCAGGCTGAGGTATAACTAACTGGCCTGAATAGGATAATGAAACAAAAAACAGAAAAAAGGCAGGATTTTTTTTTTTTTTTAACAGACATTTTCTATATTTTGGGACGATATTGTCTGATAAAGAGTACATTTATAAACATGTTTAAGCCAGAATGATTTGACATTTAAATATGACTTCCCTACGACTTTAAATGTTTGCTAATGCTACCCTAAAGAATGGCATGAGCATAAGTGGACAATCAGTACTGAATGACAGCAAGCTAAACTTGTAGCTATCATCAAACTGTGAAATTACTATTATTAACATGCATAAAAAATAACTGAATGGGTAGGGCACCAAAAAAACCTGAAGCCCAGGGGCCCAGACTTGACTGAATCCAGCCCTGTGCTACAGCCTTCTGCTATTATTTTTTGTCTGGAGCATAATATTATACTCCCCAACTTTTTCAGGTTTATTATTTTAATCGATGAATTTAAATGATTTCCCTACGACTTTAATATCCTAAATAATAAAACCACTTCCAAGCTCTTTTTCTAAATTAACGGTTCTGATCCTGGGTGGATAAACTGCACATCTAGTGCTTATCAGGGGCAGAGTTAGATGGGGGGCCAGGGGTGGCCATGGCCACCTTTAGCCAATCATTGGCAACCCCTGTGGCCATCCCAATTATTTTTTCCCTCTAATACAGATGGTGGCAGCGGTAATACATTTTTAATATATTAAAAACTACTTGACAACAGAAACACTGGTTAATTAGGCACATCAATATAAAAACATTAAGGATGAAAGATACAGAATTAATGCTCTTTTCAGAACAAAATTTTTAATTATTTGGGGTACAGATAAACTTATGTACCTCTGCAAGTCATCTAGGAGTCTTCATTAAAATCATAGATAAATAACTACTTTAATAATAACTTAAAAATTCATTAAATGTGGATATAGTAGATTTAAATATCACATTTTTGCAGAAAGATTTTTGATAAAAGTAGGTAATGACAAAATATGTTTGCCCCAGAACTCAAACCTGAAAGAATTTTGTCCACTATACTTTACACAGCAAAGTTGTTTAAATATATCCGTCTATTTGTTAGTAAAGGCTGCAGGAAAGTATAGTTTGTTTTTATTTAGAAAACATGGATGTTGTGCTCATTCCTGTTGGTTCAGTGTAGATTGACCCTGAGGTTCTGGTGCCTTTGGGGCACTGGCCACCCCTATTAGGATTTTCTGGCTACGCCTCTGGTGTTTATGAGAATAGAAATACTATTCAGCCATTGCAATATCTGTCACTTGTGAAGTTTATATATATAACATAAAATAAGTGTCATATATCGGTTAGTTTCAGTATAAGGCGCGATGACCTGCTAAATGCAGGTCAGACAGGCTCCTGGAGGACCTGCCCCGACAGAGAAAAACTGTTACATGCGGGTTTGTTTTGTAACCGTTTTTTTTTCTAGACTCATCCAATGAGATCAGCGGCCTGGGGTCATGTGACCTCATTTTTTTTTTTTACGTAACATTTTTTCTAGTTCTCGGAAGGTTTCGTAGATTCATTCATAGCAGCAGTTGTGTTCCACAGATGAGTCCGGTATGGGGACGCAGTGTGACAGCATGCTGCATCTGGCAGCAGAAGCTTTCCAGGCGAACAACTTCGAGCTGGCGGCGGATATTTACGAGTGCCAGCTGGCGAGTGCCGGAGACCCGGAGAGCCGGCTGGAGCTGATGGTGAAGCGGGCTGACGCGCTGGCCTTTGGGGGCAAAATAGCAGAAGCTTTCGAGGTGTACCGCCAAGCCTCCGAGAAAGATAAACTCCAACCCGCTCACCTGTCCCAGCTCCTAAACTACCTGTCGGACAGTATCCGGAGACACGACCGGATTCATGGCAGCTCCCGGAAGGCGGCGGAGGAGCGCTGCCGCCCGGGGTTGGAGGACTTCACCTGCGGGATGTGTCTGAGCTTCCTGTTCGAGCCGGTGACCTTACCCTGCGGACACTGCTTCTGTAAAAGATGCCTGGAGAGGGAGGAGCGGCCGGTGATGTGCACGGAGTGCAGGGACCTCTCCAAGGTGGTCGACCTCCAGACCTACAGGGTTAACGTGGTTCTCAGCAGCCTGCTGGCCAAGTGGTTCCCCTTCCTCCAGCAGGCCGAGCGGCTGAGGCGGGAGGGGAACGGGCTGTTCGCCGAGAGGAAGGTGGAAGCTGCGCTGGAGAAGTACAACCAAGCTATACTGACAGGTAGGGGCCATTAAATGTGTTTGTGAAAGAAAAGTTTGACAAAACAAAGAAGTGAAGTTGTTGTTTTTACTAGTTTATAACCGCATTCAGCGGCGGTTGTGTTATAAAACAGAGGGACTGTGGAAAGTGTGTCAGATTCTCAGCCATCTGTGCGCGAGCCGCCGTGTGTTGGATAACAGGCTAGTGGACCAAATATGACGTAAGCGCGTAGCCCCGCCCCGCTCATTGTGTAACGTGAAACAATGAGACAGTAAATATAGGTCAAGGGTATCATTACAGGTCACACCAGCACAGGCAGAGACAGGAGGCAAACATTTATAGCAGGGGTAAACAATTAAACATCCGAATAAAGAAAATTAACAACCTACGGAAGAGGATTAGGGCCACTGAAAAAGTAAAAAAAAGTTAACTGATTTTTCACTTTTATTTCAGTATGTGAGAAACAAGTTAGAATTCTGACTTTAATCTAAGAATTCTGACTTTAATCTTAGAATTGTAACTTTTTTTTATCAGAATTCTTAATTTAATCTCAGGATTCTAACTTTTTCTCACAATTCTGAATTTTTTCTTAGAATTCTGAATTTAACCTCAGAATTCTGACTTAATCTCAGAATTTTGGATCTTATTGTAGATGGGCATCATGAATGAAGAGATGTGGGAGCACTCAGCTTCACTGACAAAGATGCAAGTTTTTTGGGAGGGCCAGTAACACACTGGTGGAAAATTATGGAATTGGGTGACTTTTTATGTACCCGAGGGGTCCCCGGTGATGCTATTTTATTAATGGAAGACCAGAAGGTGATTAAAACAAGAGAGATAGTTTAGTCTTTAAAACAGACATGGCTACGGCTTGATGCTGATGTGTTTGTTAGCTGTCAGAATTCTGAGATTAAAGCCAGAATTCTGAGATTAAATTTAGAATTCTGAGAATTCTGGCAATGTTCTCTGCTAAGTGTCCCAAAAGGAATGAAAGATTTTTTTCCAATCATTAAGCCCATTATCACTTAGCTGATTGCGCCTTCCTGTGTTTCCAAAATGGCGATAATAAAAGTAGATAACATAGTTTTTCTTTTCCCTGTAGACAAGTCATGATCTGCTTATCTGTTCTCCATTTTTATTTGAATGAAATAATATGAGGCGGGGGTTACCAATCTACTTGCTCTGGAGAGCAGAGTTCAGTGCTTTTATATGTTGTCGCCAAAGTCTCCAGTAGCAAAAAAAAAAGTCGCTAGATTTGGCACTAAGCATTTTTTTGTATTTAAAGTGCTAGAGTGGTCTGAAAATTCGCTAAATATAGTGACTAATGCGCTAAGTTAGCAACACTGCTCTTTGTATCGTTTGTTTTCAAATGGTTGGCTGCTGTCTGTCTGGACCTTTCTGAACATGTGCAGCAAATGGACTGATCCAATATGGTGGACACTAAAGGGGGGCTGAGACACACTCAATAAAGCGTTCTAATGGCATTTTAGCGAATGGATTTTTATCAAAAGCTTAATTAATGTGCACAAATAAGTAATAGCTGTATTAACCATACATGTACAGATTTCATTTTATAAAAGTAAAAAAAAAAATTTTTTTAAATGCATTTTAGGTTATTTTGCTTTCTAGATATCTTTTTGTTGTTGTTGCTATGTTTGAACTACAACCTAGTGACACATTTAAAAGATCAACAAGTCTCTGTTTATTGTATGCAAAGGTCCTGTGTGACTCGGAAACTTGCTCTGACCTCCTTTAATTGCCAGCAGTGAACTTATGTAAACTGATAGCCGGTTTGGTAATGGGAGATTAATTGCATGCATCATTCCAGTCAGCATGTTAGTAGATACGGTTTTATGCAGGCATATTATTTGCAACCTAAACAGTGTTTTAACTCAGTTTTCTGTGATACATTGTATTTTTAAATAGGCAGTAATAAAAACTGCGTTACAGCAATGATTTTGAAAATGGTCTCGTTTTTAGGAGACCCACTTCTTCCTCTAATTATAGCTGCATGTCTTGATAAAAAGGCTGTAACAGGAAGCAGAAGATCAACCTCCTATCCAGTCATGTTTTTTCCAACCTCTAAAACGTTTTTCTCCCAGAAAAGCACCCCCACAGCACATATCAGCCTACTTTGTGACATATTAAGTGATTATTCAGGTCAATCATCCACTTGGTGTGTATCGATACTCTGCGCAGGCTGCTCTTCTTAAAAATATCCTGTGTAACTTGAGAGGGTCAGTTCTGGCACGGTGTTGCTTTGAAATAATCCAGCCTAATTAGCTGCATTCTGGGGTCATCAAATTTGCAAATAGAGTCCAGGCATTTTTTATTTCCATTCTTTAGAAGTCTCTTTTAATCTCCCACTTGAATTGCAACAAACAGTTGAAGTTTGTGATTGTAATTAGACCAAGAATGTATTGATAAGAAGCAATTTTCTTAAAAACACAAGTCTTCAAGTAGATCTCTCCATGAGATGAAGTGCTAAATACTGTTTTATATTATACTGAAAAGATAAACATTTTATTTTAACAATTTATTTAGTCAGCTATATTAAATACTGGTTAAAAGAACTGAAGTATGTCTTCTTACACTTTCTTAAACCTGGTAAGATAAAAAGGAACCTAATAGGTTACTGAAAAAAAGGAATGAAACAAATGTAGAACTGTCATTAAAAGAGAGTATGTCACTCTGACATAGTGTCCGACAAATTGTTACTTCATTTTAGTGACGTTACAAATAATTAAAACAAAGTGTAACCACTGTCTTTCTTTCTATCATCACATCCTCACTTCCTAAGAACAGCAGATAAGTTCTGCTGCTCCTCCATGCAGCTCAGCTAAGTGGGCCTATTTAGGTTAAAACTGAAGGAACTTATCCAGTGTTTATATTTACCAACAGAACCAGATAAAGTCCATTCTGCATCCATGACTCCATTAAACACGTTAAATAATCCAGGACCGGACTCTGGATCCATTCATGGTTCTGCTCTGCTTTTAATTCTATAGCAAATACCAGTGAGGCTCTGCTTAAGAATAAAAGCGGCGCCCCCTACTGGATAGTGGTAACACAAAAAAAAAAATCTATCATTATTAAATCTATCATTATAAAAAATCTATCATTATTGGTTGATTATTTGTTACATCCTTATTTGTAATGTAACTAAATTAGGAGGTGAGGATTCCTTTTTGAGGCTGTTTAAGCAAAAACAAAATGTTTTCTAAATATGCTGCCCCCTTTGGCCAAAAACCGAACTGCAGCACTCTTCTGTTGGTTCTCGTAGCTCGCGTTTGTGCTTGACAGGTCTTTTGTTTTACTTTTTTCATCTTACGTGGGTTTTTTGGGGTCTTGAGTTGAGCTTCTTAGGATCCTCATAATCCATCTTGACTAACCGTTTGATTGTACTAGATTGGACCCATTTAAGATGGACACGCTGTCAGGTTGCAGAATAGTGAGAGAAAATAGGCTACAAGCTTATAAATGAATGATGCTGAACTACTGAGATATCAGTCTGCTCATTAAATAATGTTTTAGTCATAAAGGGTCAAATAAAAAGGCAATTTTTAAGATATTTCCATAATAAAAAACTTACATGATGTCTCTGAAACGTTGGGTTTCCTAACACTAAAGCATATACCTACATCCTTCTTCAAGCAGATGCAGGTTATCTATACTAAAGTTTAAAAATTTTATATCGTTACCCAGGAAAATATTCAGTACTTGACAATATTTTCAATATTATCGATATAAAAACATGAGAACATAGTCATAAAAAAGTTTTATTAAAGTGAAAACCTCAACTCTTTCAATCTCAAAATGCTCTCTCAACAGAATCAAAGATGCTAGTTAAGTGTGTGAAAAAAAAAAGAAGCAAAATCAATGACCCAAATAAAGAACAATTGGACAATATTTTAAGTTTTTCAAAGGCAATGTTCTTTTAATGTTCAGATAATCCCGAAATCAGTAATATGCAAAAGAACAGTCATCTTTAGTATCGGTACCGTAACAAATCAGTTCCGATCCAGATGAATATGGATATTTTTGTTAGATCAGAATGTTGGTGATTGTCTTGAGTTGCTCTGAAAGCTGAGCATGCAACAGGTTTTTATATAATTTAAAGGAGTTGATTGGCACAAACACCAAATGAACATTTAGAAACCACTTCTGTCAAGGCTGACTCAGTCATCTCCGCAAATAGGTTACCTTAGATTCCAAATGGAAAGTTTTACATGCATTAACTTTATTTTGTTAAGGATGGTATGTGTTGCTCAGATGCAAACCTTCTAAAAAAAGAAAGATTTGCATGTTTAGTGTTAATAATGAATGAAACAACCACTTTCACTAGCACCATTTTGTCTCTATTATAAACTTCTAAGATTAGCTTCACCGTTCTGGATTAGTGTGGAATAAAAGTTTGTTCCATTAATGTCGCTAATACCAGCTTTTATAAACTGAAATTTGAACAAAAAAAAAAAAAAAACCAAAAAAAAAAAAAAAAAAAAAAAACCAACATTTTAATAAAAAAATGGTTTTGAGAAAAACATTGCTGTGTTCTTAGATTGAAATTTTTTAAATATGTATTGCAGATGTAAACTTTTTCACGTTTAATTTTTTTAATTTACAGATTTTATTTTCTTTTTTACACAAAAATTGCGTTTCACAGATCACTAGGGCTGCAACAAACGATTATTTTGATACTCGTTTAATCTGTCAATTATTTTTTTCGATTAATTGATTGATAAATAATTGGATAGCGAAAGATTCCTTAAAGAAGATTTTATACAGAATTAAACCAGGTGAAACTAAAATTATTCAACTTGTAGATTTCTGAGCATATTGAAAGGAGAAAAAGTTTTAAAAAAAATCTTAAATGTAAAATATTTATATATCTTTTCCCAATTTTGGTGTAACCACTACTCTAAGGGCGTTGCTCTGTCATACTCAAGTTAACGATTTATCAATTGACGATTGTTTTAATAATCGATTAATCCGATTGTTTCAGAACTACAGATCACGTTTTCTCCACTTCAAGCCCTAATCACACGCTCGTACTTGACCAATAAAAAAGCCTCTTTGCTCCTCTCTTCAGAGAACTCGAGCCCTAGAATTGAGAACAATCTGTAAAACGCAATTTGAAAATAATGCAATTTGAGAAAAAACTCAAATCTGAATGAAAAAAATTTTAATTAGAAAAATCAAATTCTAAGAAAACGGCAAAGGTACTCTTAAAAAAACTCTTTTTTTCATTAAGAATATTTTCACATATTCATTTCTGGATTTAATTTATTTCAAATTTCCATTTACAAAAAACACATTCTTAACAACATCTAAACCCGGATGGTTCAGGACTGGATGTGGGTTACTGACGGCTTTCTGTTTCTGCATGGAGCTGTTATCACTGCGCTTTGGGCGAGTCTGGTATTTAGTGGCCTCCTGGTTCTAATTAGCACAAGTCTGTGCAGGCAGTTTGCTGCTAATCAATATGTTCTTGTGTCCTACTTGAACGGAGCCACATGTATAAATAATCCCCTTCGCCTCCGGGCCTTTCCAGCACTTCAGGTCCTTTATCTCACCGGTGTGAGTGAATTAAGATGCAAGCACACTCCACCAGCTGCAGGAAGGCTTCGCTTTGATTCTCCGAGGGGCCGGCTGCTTCATTTGCATAAGTTCTTATACTTATGAAACCTGCAGTATGGGCGACCTTGATAGTGGCACATGGTTTTGTAAGACAGGAATGTTTTTCGTAACATGATGTGGAAGCTGGTATCAGTTCTTTTTAGAAAGTCACATAACTGGTAACCAGATAAGACTGCAGAATGTAGTTTCAGATATAAGACATAAACAAAAGATCACATATGTATGAAAAATAATTAACTGCTGATCCTATGTGAGAGCAGAATAGCAGGGGTTCCCACAGTGCAGGTCAGAACCCCCTGTAGGGTCACAGGGTGGTTTCACCATCACTGTAAATTTATCCCTGAGGTAAATGGAGGGTCACATACAGCAGAAAATACATAAACGTGAAATATGTAGATGTAGATTTTGTTTATGTTTATTTGAATATTAGATATACTTTTGCAATTAAATTATTAAATGATCCATTAAATAATGAACAATACATTTAAAACGCATTTCAAATAAAGAAATAAATAAACGGATGAGTGGTGGCCTAGTGGTTAGGGCAATGTGCTTGGATCCAAGAGGTTCTGAGTTTTTTCGGCACTAGTGCCTCGTTTTTCTGGCAGTAGGCTGACAGGAAAGGGGGTAAGGAGAGAGGGGGAGAGACATGCGGGAAAGGACCACAGGCCGGTCGGCCGCTTTAGAAGCACTTCTCCGTTGCAGCTGCAGCGAACAGGTTTTCTTCCAAGGAGCTCTGCTGTTTGCGGCACATGTTGCTCAACATTTACCTTTTGAATTGAACGTGGGATTTCTGGGTCCGTCCAAAGCCTGGGCTTTTGTTTCCTAACATTTCTGACTGCTGTTTGTCTCTCAGCACCCACAGACCACATCCTGTTCAGCGGCCGCTCTCAGATCCACTCCAGTCTGAAGCACCATGACCGGGCTTTGAGGGATGCTGAGATGGCCTGCAGACTGATGCCCTTCTGGTCCAAGGTAAGGTCATCCTCTCTTTTCTTATGCAGTTTCATTTGTTTGGGTATTTTTGTAGCTCACAGTTGGCGTAGAAGCTAATCTTGTGTTTCGGTGGCGATAGGGTCATGTTCGTAAGGCCCAGGCTTTGGTGTCATTGGGCCGGACTGAGGATGCTCTGAGAGAGTACCTGATCTGTCTGTCCATAGAGCCCGACTGTAGACTAGCCAAGGCTGAGGCTCACAGGGTAAGATCACCAACATGGCTTCGGATTCAATAATCCTAGCTGAAAATAATCCAGCATTATTCATTTTTTTCATAACTGTTGAGTCCTTCTAACACTCCTCTCTGCCTTCCTGCAGCTTCTCAGTGACTTCCTGGCTCCAGTCAGCGATCAGGTTCCTCAACACATCTCTGATTGCTCCAACTTCCTGTCTTCCAGAGCAAACATCAAAAAGGGTTTCATTGAACCTGTCCAGGTAAAGGTGCTCCTGCTTCAACACCTACACAACTAAACATGGTCCGATACATCGACCAGCTGATATTAGGAGCTGATTTTAGAGTTTTGTTTTTGTTCCTTGTACGGCTGATATGTGCTTGTGTTAGTCAGTTTATTAGTGGATTCAGCAGCCATGCCCTGCTGCTCCCTCCATTTTACATCCATTTTTCTTTTTATTTTGATGTCATTTTTATCATGTAAATGATGGGAAAAGAAGAAATATCAGCCTAAAAACAACCTGACAGACTGATAATCAGTGTCGGCATCGGCCTTATAAATCCAGCATCTGTCGATCTCTTGACTCAAAGTTGGTTGTTTCTACAGCTTCCTGTTTTTACTCCTTTCTTCTTCTCCTCTATGCGTTTAGACCCTGAGCTCAGACTCGCTGCCTGCAGAATCTCCTCCTTCAGCATCCGAGAGGTCAGACGGGTCGCATCTCCTCAAACGGAAACGAAGGAGCTCGGAAAAGGAGGAAGAGGTAGAAATCAGCCACCAGAAGAAAGTCAAATGTGGTGAGCCCCTCCCTCCAGTTAAACCATGCTGCTCCTGCTAACAGTATTCATATATTTCTCACCGACTAACAATATCTCTTTGTAGATTCCTTGGGTTCTGTGTCCAGGGACCTTTTGGACCCAACAGATCTGGAGTGTTCCCTCTGTATGAGGTGAGACTTGGAGTCAGCCTTTATATTTTTTTGTCACACACAGAAAATTGTGATGGGTGGGTGGTAATAGGTGGTTTTTGGTTTTACAAGCACTTCCAGCTTGACTAAATGTAAAAGCAAAGAAAAAAAATGACTAAAAATGTCTTGGAACTTAGTAGAAACCAAATTTAATGTTTTAAGCTCCCAAAAAAAATAATTTTTTAAAACCTCAAGTCCTCATCAGACATTTACCACACCATCCCCCAACAACCTGGTGTGCTCTTAATCACTCAAATTAATGGGAGGGTCTAACAACTAAATGAACTTAAATATATTTTACGTACCAAAAGACAATTGATAGAAGAACAAATTACTAAAATTTAGCATAAATGGCCACAACCAGGGTTCTCACGGGTCCTTAAAAAGTCTTAAAAGGCATTGAATTCTTCATAATAAAACTATGGCCTTAATTGGTATTAAAATATCTTAAATCAGTCTTTCATTGGTCTTAATTTTTAACACCTCATTTAGAATCTAAATAAAACATTAAAATTTACTTTTTTTTTTTAATAAAAAAAAAAAAAAAACAGCTCGCCATTATTGGTTCCGTCCTGATAGCGGAACCAATAAAAGCGTTGTTGCAGCTGGGACATTTGGGAGATTTTTGTCTGGAAAATATGAGCAAGTGTAAATGTAACCAAAATTGGCTCCAGCCAAGAGTTTTCTCCATGGCTAAAACCAGGGAACATACATGAGGCTCAGTGGATTTTGTGCAAGAAGAGATTCAAGCTCAGATAATGGGAATTTTAGCAGTTGAGTCACACATGCGAAGCGCGAAACACAAAGAAACAGCCGGTATTTCTCAGTTTTGTTCCACCCTTGTCTCTGCAACGCCTCCACTTATCACCAAATCAAACATACTAAGAAAACCATACAAAGAAAAATAGCTGAAAAAAAGACATAGCACTGGTTATGTTGTGGCTTTAAAACTGATTTGTTTCCTGCTAAAACAAAGTTTGTGAATTCAGTTAAATAATTGTTAAAATATATCTGTCATTTGTGTGTTTTTAGCTTTCTTCCTGTATGGGAAGCTTTTCAAAATTTGAAACATTAGTGCAGTGGTTTATGTTAAAATAAACCTTTGGGTTAAGTTGTCGCAAACAGGTTTTTCTTGTTTCTTGTGAATTTGGTCTTAAATTTTTATTTCAAGTGGCATTAAAAAGACTTAAAAGTCTTGAATTTAACTTGCCTTATGCTGTAGGAACTCTGACAACAACAGGGGTTTTCTGTTCAACAGGACATGTTTATTTACAGCCTATGACGTATAATCTTTATGGATTACGTAGAAGTTGGTGGTTGTAATTTAAAGAAATGTGGGACATTTTGCAGAATTCAAGCAGAAAAGGACACAGGAAGGCATTTTGGACAATAAATCTATCTGATGGTCATCATGCGCAGGGATTCATGGTGTGTCTTTGTGTTTCCTGTGCAGACTGTTCTATGAGCCGGTAACGACGCCGTGCGGGCACACTTTCTGCCTGCAGTGCCTGGAGAGATGTCTGGACCACAACCCCATGTGTCCGCTGTGCAAAGAAGAGCTGTCTGAGGTACGTGTCTGATCACAGCTGGACGTTTCAGTTAAAAAAAGGAGCCTGTGATGCTAATGCTTCATTCATTCTCCTCCTGTTTGTGTATCAGTACCTGGTCCAGAGGCAGTACTGTAAGACGGTACTGATGGAGAACCTTATATCCAAGTATCTTCCCTCTGCGTTCATGGAAAGACAAAAAGTGCACGAGGAGGAGATGGCTGAGCTCTCCAAGTGAGTTATTAGACACCCTCCGCTCCTGTTCCCTCTGCTTTCCTTTAGTCGTTCATAAACTTAAGCGCTCATTTTCCCTCCTGGTTTCTGTTTAGCCTCAACAAGAGCGTGCCTATATTTGTGTGCACCATGGCCTTCCCCACTGTGCCGTGCCCGCTCCACATCTTCGAGCCCTGCTACAGGCTGATGATTCGCCGGTGCATGGAGACCGGGACCAACTGCTTCGGCATGTGTCTGGGAGACGACCTCAAAGGGTTAGTGGCCGAGGCAGTACAGCAGCTTGTTTTTATTTAAAAAAAAAAAAACAGTAGCATGCAAACAAAATTATAACAAACAACTTTTTTACAAACTCTTCAATCTATAATTATTATCTGAGTAAATCAGTTATAATTGGCATCATATACATGCTGAGCTATGCGCTTATATATATTCACTCACCCTTAACTGCACCTGAAAAGCACTCACAACAACTCATTAGCACGATGCTAATTTGCATTGAAAATCCCACTATTATTAGCTCTATTGAGGTCTTTCCTTCAATTTTAAACAATCAAAGTCTTTTTTTGTTTTTATCAGATTTTTATTGATATATGTTTGAAAATTAGAACAACCTAAATATAATCTTAATTACTAAATATAAAAAGAAATAGATCTACAAAGGAGAAACAACCTGAAACTATGGGGTGAATTTTGTTCCATTATTGTTACAGGCAAAGGATACATTTTGTAAATGGAAATTTATAAAACACAATCCTTAGAAACACAATAAACTTTATAAAACTTTTTCATGAAAAAAAAAAAGTTTAGAGAGTAACTTTGCCTTTTTCTAAGATTTATTTTTTTTCAAAAACAATTCCACATTTTCTTTCTCATAGTTCATTTCCAATGTATGTCTTTTATTTAGTTTTTTGTATTTATTTTTCATGTTATTTTTTCATGTAAGTTGTACATGAAAAAAATATATATTTATCTGTCTTTATATTATCAGTGCTTTATTTATTTTTGGAGATTTCACTTTTTCAGATTGAGTTTTAATAACTACATTTTCTCCTGTATTAAATGCACCTGAAACACTGAGAGGGCAATGGAAGATAGTTAGTGCTACTGAAGAAATAAAATTAAGTTAACTGATTTTTAAATATTTCAGTTTAATATGGGGGAAAAGTCCGAATTCTGACTTTAATCTCAGAGAAAAAAGTCATAATATTGAGATTAAAGGCAGAATTCTGAGATTAAAGTCAGAATTCTGACTTTTTTCATATATTAAACTTGAATAATATTTAAAATTCAGTTAACTGTTTTTTATTTTTCCAGTGGTCCTAATCCTGATCCGTAGGTTTGGGTTATTTACTTTACCTCATTATAAATAAGCTCAAACGGAGAGAAATCAAATTATCTGAGAATGATTTCAAGCCTAGAATGTTATCTCTATAGCTCATAGACCCGTCTTAAATGTTTTAAAGGGAGTATATTTGCTTCCCTTTGAAATGTAACACCTCTTCACTTTTCCCTGCAGGTTCGCCGGCTACGGGTGTCTGTTGGAGATCCGCAATGTCAAATTCTTCTCAGACGGCAGATCGGTGGTGGACACGATTGGTAGACGGAGGTTTAAGATCATTCAGCACCGTGAGAGGGATGGCTACACCACGGCTGATGTGGAGTACTTGGAGGACGTGAAGGTGGGTGCAAACAAAGAGGGAACGGCTTCAGAGAGAGCTAGCGGAGGAGGCTAAAGCTAAGGCGTGTTTATCCATATTTCCAGGTGGAGGGTATAGCAGAGCGGGAGCTGCAGTCGCTACACGATGCGGTGTATGACCAGGCTCTGGTCTGGGTCAACTCTCTCAAAGCTGAGCAGAAGCAACGCATCGAAGGACACTTTGGACCAATGCCTAAGAAAGACCCTGAACTCCAGGTAGGAGGCGACAGCAGAAGCATTTTAGACCCTCTGAGCCGCAGTCAGAGCCTCCGTATCACCTGCTGTTTCTCTTGTCCCTGCAGGCTAGCCCTAACGGCCCCTCCTGGTGCTGGTGGTTAGTGGCTGTTCTCCCCTTAGAGGGCCGCGCTCAGCTGCCGTTCCTCGCCCTCACCTCCCTGAAGGATCGCCTCAGTGGCATCCGCAAGGTTCTGCTCTTCATGTCACAGAGCAGGCTCCGGTGACCTGATGGAGGTGGTCTACGCACAAACGACGGCCTCCCTCAGAGCAGCTGATGACCAGTTCTTCCTTACAACGCACAAATAACAGCCACTTTTACACCTCAAGAGCAAACTTCATACAACAAGGAACACCTCAATCTAGTATCTTCCGCTCATCGCTTTGACTCTGCGGAGCTGAGCTGTGTTCAGACAGGAGGCGCTGAAGTCCATCACAGTGACGAATTTAACAGTTTAACAGCGCTCACCTTGATTTCTGTATGACTTTCTTTTTTTAAACCCCTGAACAGCTTCCAGGTAACAATTTCAACAGTAAAGCTGCTTGGTGACACAAATTCAGACACATTAAATCCAAACGACATCAGTCTGCACTGACTGATATTACACCGATCACAGTTGTCTGGCCGATCGCCGATATTCAAAAACCCTGACTTCCCAAGAGTGTAGGGCTGCACCCCTGCCCTGTGTCATGGCGCTCATCTCATTGTGCTGGTTTGATTAACCTAAACCACACCTGCTAAGGCAAACAATTTTATTAATTTATAGCTTGACTGGGCATTCATTACTGATAACTGCAACCTAATTTTGCTTCAACAAAACTGGATTACAGATATATGTAACAGCAGTTTAGAGAATGTCTTTATGTCTTTTTTTACTTATTTTCTTTAAGTACTGCAGTACAAAACATTGCATAAATTTAACGATCCAGTGAAACGTAATGGGTACAACATGTCAATGTTGTAGTGTCCATAATTTAAATTTAGAGCCTTTCTTTTCCATTCTCCCTTCCTCTATTTTTCCTTCACTTTTTTCTCTTTTTAGGAATAAGAGAACATTTATTAAAAAAAAATAACTTTGAATTAAGGCCCATTTATCCCTAAATAATCTGTTTTTTTTAAGATGCACAATCCAGTTTTTTTTCAATCTGATACCGATCTGGCTCAACTGTTAAATTAATTAACCATATATCTCGTCATGTGAGAGAAAGCTTTAGCATGGACATATACAGTATTAAGAAAAGGCACAAATTAACTAAAATATAAAAGGATTTTATGTTATTTATTATTATTTTTCTAATATCCGATCCCGGTATTGGATCAATTCATCTCTACTGTTTTCATTCATTCTGCTGTTATCTGCTCCATGTGGTAGAAGCAAGAAATATCTTAGCAGCCTTAATGACAATATTAGTCAAAATATCATTATAGACATCCATAATGGTAAATCTGCATATTTAAACGTACTTATAACATTTTAAATGGCTTGCCATACCCAATTTTCTTACATATACCTTTTAATTTTTTGGGGGGTTATCAAATGTCAGGTGGTGAGACGTTTTCGTCTTAAGTTCAAATGTTTTAGATAAGGGTCCTGTGAAATTAGAGTTAGTACATCAGAAACTGGTGAGAAAAATCTAAAAAAGACCCCTAGTCACAATATATGATGGCTACCAGCATATGGTGTAACATCGGACATTTTATCACCCCCCAAAAAAAAAAGATGAACATATGTAATGTGAAGTTTTATTTTAAAAGGGCAGAACATTACAGTTCACCAGATGAACACCATGAGGTGAGCGCTACGACACTGGAGGTCTCCAACCAGAACGTTGGGATTCTTCATTGTTCTGGTTTCATGTCACTGAAAAACAGAGAAAAATACCTGTTTAGTTATAAATGAAAAGAGCATTACCAGTGATCCATTTTCACACTTCAGTGAGGTGGGTGAGATCACTTTCAAATCCAAAAGCCAAAGTTCACCCCCATCCCAAATGGACATAAATACAAAAAGAATGTGTGCTATTTGGTTAATAAATGACAGGCCACTAAAGTAATTTGACATAAACAGGTTTTACATGTAATATCAAACCAAACTTTTAAAGGTTCCCTTTTGAAGACATTTCTGTGTCAAACTTTTTAAATTATAGCTTTGATTTCCATAATGTGTTTAAAAATACATAAAAAAGACAATGAGGCAAATATTTAGGAGTTTGTTATCCTATGAAAATAGCTTCAAAATGTTTGAGTTTCAAGCTCATAGTTATGCTTCACTAATGATCTTAGAAGAAATGGGCTTCCTCCAGCTTCCGTCCTCCATCCCTCCATTTGTCTTTTCCATGGAGCTTTGAATGTGGTCTGCTTTACGGCTCCCAATCTTTTTTTTTTTATAAATTTGCACTCACATTTTATTGTTGACCTTTATTTATTTGGTTGTTATTTATGCATGAAGTGACATTGTTTACATTGCAAAATAAAATAGATACTGAGCTGCTCATTTTCCTCTCATTCAACCTCTTGTTTTCAAACCTCTATTTTAAGCTTTAAAAGCTGAAATATTTGGAAAATCCCCATTTCAGGGAAGATTCCCTCGGAGTAAAATACGTAGATGACTGGTGTCCTGAAGAAAAAGGTGAACTTGATTCGACCATTTTTATTTGAAGGATGTTTAAAGAAAAGTCAGTCATCCACAGAATCTGAAAACGATTCCCTGAAATGTACATTTAGCAGCGAGTAAAGGCCAGTCCGTGTAGGAGTGGCTCAATTTATAAACCAGAATACTTCCCCTTTATCCCAGTTTTCCTTCCACAGTGGATTTATTGAGGTGAAACAAGAGGAACGTTTTTGACAGAATATGTTGCTGATGAAAATCTCGAGGCCTTTTTCTTGTACATAATGTGATTGTTTTTATCTGCAAGCAAATCTTTGAAAAACATGAGATTGTTTGACTTTACTTTGTAAAATCTTTTATATACAAAGATTGCTTCTTTTTTTGTACAACATAGTCCTGTGTATTTAATATGTTCTTTGCTTTTTGGTGTGTGTTTTTTTTTCATTGTACGTAAAGAGTCACGTCAATAGATCCACATTGTAATGTTTCTGAAAGGGCCAACGTAATGTAAAGCTGGACATTAGAGAACACAACTAGTGTAGGAAGCAGTAATTCAGCTGCATGCACTGTTAAAAAAGGCATGGGCTGCTGTGAAATCAAAACCATTTGGTAACGTTGGGTAAAAGCACTGCATAATAAATTCAAGCAAACTGTATTTGATAAAGTTTAGAATGATCATTTATCTATTGTGACCATCAGTTTTTTTGTTTTTCCAAAGCTACAGCTGAAATTTTCAGTTGAAAAATAGGAGAGAAAATTCTAGAAGCCAACTCTCCGCCAGCTGACTGATTGTGTGCAGTAACGGGTGGGGGAGGGGAAGCCTTGCAGTATCGTGCTTTTAACCATTTGGGGAAAATTCAGGTTACTTTAAGGACAGAACCTTTCAGAAACCATAACTTTGCAGAACCTGGGTATTGGCCTGATGTCCAGGCCTAACAGCATTTCAAGATGATGGTCTAGATGGACGTTTGATTAGTTGCTCTAAGTACAAGTTAATAGTTCTTATAAATGTGTTATTTATAGGAGCTGAAAACTGTTTGATTACGAACGTACCCCATGGAAATGAAAGGGAATATATCTTGGCTTATAGACATGTTCAGTGAGAAATCCCATCATTGAAATAATCTGATATTTTTAATAATCTTTTAGCCAGCCTGATGCGTACTGGCTGACATTAAAGGGATCTTTAAATCCTCTGTGTTCAACCACACATGCTCTGTGATAGATATGCATTGTGTTCCTAATGAAATGCGCACATGTAGCAATAATAAAGTTTAAACATTTTATGTAAATTTTGTTTGGATTGTCTATTTTTTAAGATTAGAGAGAGATCATATATACTATGCACAGAATACACTGGAAAAACAATCTAGAAATAAAATTCCTTAAATTAAGTGTATTTACCCTTAATTTGATTAGGTAAATGAAATAGTTTGCCAATGGAATGATTATTTTTACTCTGAAAATAAGATGATTAGATAACATTCTCTTAAAATGAGACAATGCAATTGTGTTTTCTTATTTTAAATTTTGTTTTTCAACTAGCAAAATGTCTCTTTTACCTCTTAAATCCAAGAACAAATGCACTTATTTTAAGACAAAATGACTTATGTAGATTTCCATTTTTTTCCAGTGTAACATTCAACTGTCACCAACAATACCTGAACTCACTATGGAGTCTTTCACAACCAGTTCATATTTCATCTTAATATAAAAAAAAAAGGTTTTTGCAAATGTTCATCGACACTGTATATGTAAAAAAAAAAAAAAAAAAAGTGAAAAATACCAATAAAAAGTTTTGGCAAGAAGTAACAGGAATATATACCGTGTTTTCCGGACAATAGAGTCAAACTCACTGATAGCCGCGCCCACAAAATATTTTGGAAAAACTTACTTAAAAACTTACTTCTGTTCTCTCCAGATGCCCGAGTCAGTTGATGTGGCTCTGGCATCTGGTTAGGATGCCTTCTGGACGCCTCCCTAGTGAGATGTCCCAGGCATAACCTAGAGGAGACCCAGAGGGAGACCCTGGACACACTGGAGGGACTGGGTTTCTTGGCTGGCCTGGGAATTCCTTGGGAGGAGCTGGGCCAAGTGGCTGTGGAGAGGGACGTCTGAGCCTCCCCTAAAGCTGCTACCCCCCGCGACCTGACCCCAGATACGCGGAAGAAGATGGATGGAATTTCCAGAAATCAGTGAGAATATCTCCAATGATCCCACTGTCCACCGCAACCTCAACCTCACCATGCTCAAGCACACATCAGAATAAAATATCAACATCTAAGATGTTCATCAGCAAATGCTTCAACCATATCCATAACACAGTGTCCTTGCCGAATCACAATAGTCTGCTTTTCAGCAATATTTTCTGGATTTTTCCTGGATGTTTCCTGGATTTTCTGTAAGACATCCCACACTGCTTGAGGAGAACATACCTCCTCAAGCATCATCTTCATTTTCAGCCATCTCTGCTGCCACTGTTTGCTGAGGTGAATCTGGACCTTCAGTGGTCACTATGGTTACCGCTTGATCAGTACTAACTTGACTTGTGTATCTGCAAGGTCATTAACAGGTAAGTTTATATCTGATCCAATAGAGATTATTTCATCATCATCATCATCAATCAACAGTTGCATTGACATTGGCAGGACTTGTGTCTGAGGGGAAGTAGTTGGGGGTGTTGATGCATTTTCTTTTCAATAGATTTTATTGAATTTTCGCTTTTTTGACACAATAAAATTACAACTAACCTTGTAACATGTACTTATACACACTTACATTCATTCATGCATTCACCATTTAAACCTGCATTTCTCTAGTTCCAAAAATATACAAAACCCTTTAGATTAAGGCAGAGAAAAATAACAAGGCAATATATGAACAGAAACTGTAGTCAAGACATCCGTTCAAGACGCCCATCAATAAGCTCCACCTTCAGTCACTATGATCCTCCTATACGGCTCCCATAGATTCTTAAAGTCTTGTTGTTTTGCCCTTGGCAATGTATGTTAGTTTTTCC